CATAATATTAGAAGATTTACAATAGCCCAATACTATTCAATTTACCCTAATAATAATATTCAATTACAAATTTCTAGAAAGGGATGCAACTTTTTTTACCATACTCAATTCAAAATTTACTAAGTTGCCATTTAATTCAAAATGGGAAAAAATATTAGGCATTTAGTTTACTGACAATAAACAGTGGGAAGTGTTTATAACATAATACCAATCAAATGTACAGATAGTACTGATCTGAAATGTTTGCAGTATAGAATTATACATAATATACAGTATTACCAACAAGAAATTATCTCTATAGATTAAGTATGTTGATTCACCACTATGTATTTTTTGTAAGCAACTTCCGGAAACAATTGACCACATTTTTTGGAATTGTGAAAAAATATACAAGATATGGAAAGATTTGGAAATTTGGATAAATAAAAAACTGTATAAATGTTATTTTATTAGTAAAGGAATTTATCTATAGAAATAGTAAACAGAAAGTGTTACCATAAATTTAAAAAAAATATATAAAGAGAGAAATTGTTAGATACTATAAGATATATATATATTTTTCCTCCTGTAATCCAGAGAAATTCTTTTCCTTTTGGTCTTCACTACATGTTCTTCTTCAAAGCTTCAAATAAATAATAAATGTTTAAATGTTTTAAGTCATAGCCTTTGTACTTTGGCCTCTTTTATATAAGCAGTTCACCTATATGAACGTAATGGTACAGCAAGTTTTAATATTGAATACATTATTAACCATAAATATTATAATTTCACTAGCAAAAGAAATTATAAAAATTTGTTAACAGGATATATAATTATACCAACATTGATTCTCGAGTGGAAAGTTGAGTTTTATGTATGTACAGTACTTGGTTCAAGTGTTTTTTAGAACATTATTGCAAATGAAATTTAAAAATACAATGCTTCTGTATATTATTTTTGTAAATATACTACTTAATGTTTTGAAAAAAAGGGCACTTATTTAATTGTTGTTTTAATTTTTCTTTTTGAATGTATTGTATGATAAAATCAATAAAATGTTAAATAAAAAAATTAAAAAAAAAACATTCTTCTTTGATGGGCGGACGTTGTGTAGACATAAATTTATTTTATTTCATAGATATTTAGGTGTTTATAACTTGTATAAACTAATGATGTACTGTACTATTCACTCATTCTTTAAACTTAAAGCATGTAGAGAACGAAATTTTAATTATATAGATTTGACTAAAATAAAACCATGAGGGTTTCTTATTTGTTTCAATAAATCTGTTCAATTAAAAACTTTATCGATTACACTGAGCTTGTTCCTGTCGCACTTTGGAAGATCTGACGTCATCACAACCGAGCACACCACCCACAAAAAAAACTAACCAATTAGCGGGCAGAGTTTATGAGTCAGGGCCTATTGTTTACAACAATCGACCAGCAAGTGGCATCGTGACGACGAAGAATGTGTTCTGTTTAGATAAATATATCAGACCGAAACTATACGTAATATAAAAGAATCAATTTTCAAGTACGAATTCAATTACAATTTTTAAGAACTTTCAAGGGCCTTAAAAATGATTCTTAAATTCCAGGACTTTCAAGTACTTTCTAATGACTGTATGGACCCTGAATATCACGATTGACTTGTAATACTTATTATTCAACTCTCATTCAACTAATCAGGAAATAACAGTCTCAAATCTACTATAAAAACTGTTATACCTGCTTTTGGAGTCTTTAGGAGATTAGCTCTCAGGTCAGCTTTACCCACCAGAACTGTATTATATTAAAAAAAAAACCATCTTAATACTTGTGTAAAAGTAATCAGTATCATCAGGTAGGAATAATCTTAATCAACTTATCATTACCTTGCTTTTTGTATTATTCATTATAAAAGTGATATAGAAGTGGTTTCTCACTGAGACAATTCAAACTTTCCAGTTTTAAGGTAGCAATAAAACTGCATCAGATTGGAAAGAACCATTCTCAACTAGTTTATAAACAGTGACTGTTTAGATTCCCACTGCAGCCCATATTTTTGCTCCCCCATTTCAGTCACACCACATCACTTTCTGAGAAAAATATTCTCAGAATTCCATTTAAATAAATCTAAGCTGTGGATTAAAAGTGCTGCACAAAAGCAAGAAATTATGCTCAATTTTAAGCAGGGTTATATGGATGCTAGCAAATTGGGTTTTTCAATTCAGTACTTCCTTTTCCTTTCAGTTCAATATGTCATACTTCCATA